CGAGTCCCTCGGTCTCGACGTCGACCGTCTTCTTCGATTCTCGACGTCCCCGTGGGTGCTCGCCTCGTGCCCGAGACCGGAATCGTCGCTACCGCGTTCCGCGATCGTCGAGTCTTGCCGACGATCTCGGGAGAACTCGAGAAAACGGGGTGAAAGACGGGAGCGTGATTCGTGCTGCATGGGACATCTTCATCGCCCATTTATTCGTTCCGTTCGTTTAACTTCTTTCCCTGCTGCTTCTGACCGTTCCCTCAGTTTACTTTATTTTGCTAGTATTTTTTATTATTATAAATATTAATGTGAAATATATCGGGAATGTGATCGAGAAAGGATGAGGTAGCAAAGGCTGCCTCAAAAGGAGCCTCGCCGTCCGGTCTCCCTTTTTTCCCACTATCATCACGTCTTCCAAAGCAAAATTCCATTCATTCCGCTTTCACCCGGCCAGATCATAAAACTCTGCCGAGTGCCGCCATTTATCACCGATAAGGCGTAATATAAGGCATCGCGAGAGCACACATTTCATCGACTCGCTCCTTTGGCACTTTTACCACTTCTATTATTCGTCCGATCGTCATTTTCGCCGATACGTTTTGCCTTTCTTGCACTAGTCGCCGTCGTCGAGCTCCACGGCTCGACGATCGAGACAGATTTCGCATCATCGCATTTCTCTCGTCTCGTCTCCGCATAACCAGTCGCTTCATCACTGTCGATATCACATTTCGGACAATAATTTAAAATGCATTCCCCACACTCACATCGATATCGTATCTCGTAATTGACATGTTTTACGCAATTGACAGGAAATTTGAGCGTTATAAGAAAAAAAGTCTGAGTGGTGGAGAAATTAACTGTAGATCTCGGACTGATTTACCTCGCTATAAAGGTAATAATTGACCTGCAAGGAATCGTCTGATAAATCCTGAGTAGTCTTTCAAATTCATATGTGTTTGCTTCATGATGAAAACCACAGTCGAACTCGGTTTTAACGAAACCTTGGCTATAGCGACGAAAAGCGCCAGGTCCATGCGTAGAGCCCATAAGGCAAGTTCAATTTTGCCTGTTATAACGAAGTCCTTGAATCAAGGTCCCACTGACGAAATCGAGAACGTTGACGTCCCTAACTCGTCATTCCTTGAGAGTCGTGTGGGTGCGACTGGAGGAGGGTGAGGGAGGGATGATCCCCAGTAACCAAAGAGATCGTCTCGTCTCCAGTCGCCATTTGCAATCCTCGTTGAGAACATGGCCAGTGAAAAGCGGAAAGGCAAGCCTTCGTGATTGAAAAGAAAGTGGACGAAGTAAAGCCAACGTCGCACGTGGACGTGGACATAGTTCATCTGTTTCCACAATTTGGGAAAATTTGACAGCTTCATCCGTGCTCAAGAGAAGAACACGGCACGAAACGAGAAACTTCGTAGATCTGTCGAGATGATGTCGACGAGGCCTTGCCAAGGTAGTTCAGGGTCCAAAGAAGTGCGAACACGATTATTGGGTCGATGCTGAAGCTGAAGCTAGTGCGGCTTGAGAGATGTACACTGGAGTTGTGTTGTTATACTGTATGGCATCCATTTTGAAAGCAGGGGTACCGAATGTCAATGAAGGGGTTCTGGGGCAGAAGGTCGAAAATTTTTCGTCGAATTGCAAGAATGTCGACGGCATAAATTGTCGAAAGGCAGAATGGGAGAGAGTAGGAAATGTCGAATTATGACATGGTGGAACGGAGAAAATGTCGAAAGAACCAGAAAGTCGAAAAATGTCGAAAAACGTTGAATGTGCTTGTCTAGGGCTAAGTCCTTTTTTTTTCTAAATAGTTAGCCTTTGTCTCTTGTTTAGTTCATGCCTTCGTAGACTGTATGCTCAGCCTTCTCAAACTGGAATGATCGTCTATCTTCAGAGATAGGCGATCATTCCAGTTATTGTTAGTGACCTTGAAAGGGGTTCGACCCATACTCGCCCATGAACTAGCAGTCAATCTCGTTCCTTTCCTTGTCATCACTCCCTCGGCTTGTTATTTTCTGGATCGACTGGGTTCGTCACGGCGTTCATGCTTCACAAGACTCAAAAAGGTGGTGCTTTGCTCGTGAATAGTGGTTACAAAGACAACCCTAGAAGAGTTTAATTTGAGGCCTTTGCTTGATTTCTTGAGAGGTTTAGCACAATCAAGTTTTGAAGCAATTAGACAATTGGACATTTGACTGGATCTTTGCCTATAATTTATTGATGTGCTTATCGACTCAGTAAAAGTAGCTTTCGACATTTTTTCCATTCCACGACTTGGCCTTTCGCCATTTTTGTCTTCGACCATAAGGACGTTCGACGTTTTGGTTATTCGACTAAAGAGAATTCGACATTATGCCATTCGACCATTCGAGAGGATACCAATGAAGGAAACCTCGTTTATAACGACGATTTTTCCCTGGTTCCTTCAATGACATCATCACCGAGTTCGACCGTATTTCACTCCTGGACTATAAAGGGACATTTAAATTAACGCGAGTCATGCATACACATCAGGAGTAAGAAGCAAACACTCTATGAGAAAGACTCATGAATAGGTACATCATCTTCAGTTGAGTTTCCAAGAATATAAGGCGACATAAACAGATTGCACCACAAGCCTTTTTTTTTTTACTTTGGTGCGAAGTGCCTAAAATGCCGAGAAAAGTTGGAATCATTCTTCTTCTTGCCATAGCTTCAGCTGATGCAATGAAAGAAAGGCAGAAAAGTTTTCGGTTGTCTTCTGCTTTTTGAAATATAGCCTCGGCTGCCAAACTTGCTTATTACCAGCGTGATGATGCCTTTCCGCGTCTGGTATTGCCGGCAATTCCTGCCCCTCTCGTTTCGAGTAAAAAAAAATGCTTTCTTTCAGACGTGGAACATATTCCATTTTGACGTCTCCCAAGTGCGTGAGAGAAATCGGCTCGCTGTCAGAATGCGTTTCCGAGATCCCTAGTTTAACGGAGAGAAAATGCACGGACTCCCAAATTAAAGATTCGAAAGGTACGTGTAAAAAAAAAAGAAGTCGAAGGAACATGGTTTACGCGTGAGCTTTGATCGATCCATGTTGTTTAATACCGACGAACTCAGTGCTCCTAGCCCATCCCAATGAATTCGCACATAAATCACTTCTCGATGCGAGTATACCACCTTTTTTGCATCGTAGTCGTCAGGAGAAGGATTCCCCGAGTATGTAGACCGATTTTCCATTCCAGAAAAAGGCAAGGAGTTTGAAAGGAAAAGCGGTCTATACACATAGGCCACTTTTCCATTCCAGACCCTTGATAATTAGATTTTTTTGCAGATAGACCACTTTTCCTTTCAGCCCTTCAATTATGCCGGGATCGTTACTTTGGAAATTCGTTTCGACGTGCACGAAAAAACGTACTCCGACGCCACATAAGGCTGATACGAAGTATTTTTTTTTTTGCATCAAGAAGGAACAGTCTCATTGCTCATCATCAATGTAGATAACGTTCTGGTAGATTTTCCCTCTGAAATTGGTTTAAAAATTCGATTTTCTCGACCAGAGAAGAAAATTTTACGACGGGAAGAATATTACCAAAATACGGAGACCCAGATTTGATTTGTTGCCATAATGAATCTCATGCATAGGAAATGCGCCCCGACGATAGAGGGCCGCAGTACCCTCGAGAGACGGTGGATACGAAAATCGGATGAAAAGTCACTGGTGATCGGTCGCAAGTAGTTAAACGATTGTGAGTTCGCAGCGGCTCATAAACTGGGCGTCTGCGGGAGTCCGTAGGTGCTCGTGAGGACTATGTCTGTCCGAAGCAGAAGACGATCGTCTTCCGGAACCCACGACCCAAGTGGTCGAGCGTTCACGTCAGCAGATCGATGAATTCAGCTGGTGAATCTCTTCTTGCAACCGTTCGCGGGATGAGTACCCTCGCGGAACGAGTACGCTCACGGATTCGACTAGGCTTCGGCCGTTTGGGTTTGGTCCTTCGGGACAGCCGTCTCCTCGTTCCTCCGTTGGCCACAGAGAGACGGAAGGGGATGGCAGTAAGCGAAGAGAGAACAGGAGAGAGTCCACTGCATCTCTTATCTTCAAGAGACTTGTGCTCTTAGCGAAATCGACCGTGCCACTCGCACACGCGCGAGAATTAGGACATCGAAAGCCGTAACGAAGGAACAGTTCGGGCCCATCCTGAGCTCGTCTGCAGTAACCGCCAACGACGAATCGGTACCATGACTGTAACGTGGAATTTCTAACCGATCGTGAGGTAATGTTGCTCCGACATCCTTCCCACTCACGGGACCTCACGACTCGTGACTTCACGCTGTTTCTTCACGCAGGCCCTCTCCAATCGGCTGCGACCGACGCGTCGAAGGTGGTCGCCACGGATGGCTTACAGCCAGTGTTCCAAGCTCTGTACAAATGTGGGGAGAAGTGTTCCGCAAGCCAAGGGTGCTATTTCGAAGGGAAACATACTCAGACCTTACTCCCGTTCGTAGTTTCCTCTTACGAAGGCCGGTCCTAAAACTTTTTGATGGGTCCTCGTTAAAAAAAAAAAAATTAAGAGGCCCTTTTTTCCAGACTGTGTACCATCTCGCGGAAAATAAATGAGATGTAAACAATATGCTACCGAGGCGACTCGCCTTTGGTTCATTCGACCTTACAACGAATTATAACACGAACGTGACGAAAGAGATGAATCGATTCTGCAGGCGAACTTCTCTGCTGTAATGGGAAAGTGCATCCTGTTTTCTCGTTCTTTCCCTGTCACGTCTTTTGGGGCTCTGGGAGTCGTAAATGAAGTTGGGTGAACGTGTCGCCGGGACCATGTCACTTCGGTCACCAGCTGTGGTTAATGGGTTAATGGCATCTCTTCCCAGTCTCAGATCCCAAGACGAGTATCCGTCGTAACATCATCATCGGTGTGTGTGCGTGTGTGTGTGTGTGTGTGCGTCCGTCCGTCCATGAGATGGGTGAGGTTAAGAAATGACACAAACGAGAAAAGAGAAACACAATCTTCTTTATGAATGGAATGAAAACTGTCTTCACGGCAACAAATCCCCTTCTATCTTGTCAAGATTGTCGGTTATGTCCGCCATCGTCATCGTCATCATCATCATCACCATCATCATTTGTTTCAGGGTGTGGAAGACAAACGTTTGGCTTAAGAGACGCTTCCATTCATCTGTGTGCACTGGAATGATCCATTGATCCTAATGAGATTGAGCAATGGAGGTGCAAAAAGAGCAAAATTGTCCTTCAGGTCGCGCCGATAGTTTTCGAGCAAGATGAGCAGCCGTATGATGCCGAGACGCGAGGTTCTCGGTTTCACACGTCGTCGATGCAAGGAGTCCTTACAATTCTTGACATCGTAGAATGGAAAAATTCAGAATGATATGTGAGAAGAACGAGAAAGGAAACGTTGAGATGTGAAAGAATCTGGAAGTGCTTGGCACGCGAAGAAAATGAAGGACATCCTGCCGCATCTCCTACTATTTCTGCGGTCTAAAATTCTCATTCGTCTTCGGTGGGAATCTTCCAACCGAGATCCGGATTAAATAAAGTTTTTCCGACAGAAAGTCCGATCCAGTTGAAGATTCGGGTTTCCCTTCGCTACGATCGACTAGCCTTTAGGGGACGAGAGACAGTCTACGAAATTCCCTGGCAGATAATATTTTTCCATAGGAAATACGACATGTGAATCAACGAGAGGAAGAAACGTCTGCTTGCACTTACACTTTCACTTCAGTTCCATTTCAAAGTCGGTCGAGAGAGAGAGAGACAGATAAGATAGAAATAGAGATGGGGAGATCGAGTAGAGGAATGTGGGAGAGATAGAAAAGGGGATTCTCTCAACCGAACGCAACCGACCAACTCCTACAGTATATATGGAAACACAACGGGATCGAGCGGGACTCGAGCGTCTGCCGCTGGGCGATCGCTCGACCGGTCGGTTCGTGTCGAGATTCTCTCGACGGGAGAGGGCTGATATCACAAGATGGCGCGTGACGACGTTTGAGCACAAACGGACACGTTCACACGCCCAACTCTGCCCTTCGAACGTATTGCTGCATCTCGTCCACGTCTCCAAAGTCTTCGGAGGAACGGCCCGTCCCGATTCACTTGGGGTGATCGTCGACGATTCTCCCGAGACCGCGTGCTTCCAGCTATGGCTTTTAGGGTGAGAAAGGTGAGAACTCGGTTCCCAGAAATGCCTAGATGAGGGAACAATAAGTTTCTACATCCATTGAACGCGGTCAATGCATGAAAGCAATTAGGGAAAGTCTTCCGGAGATGGAATTGCTTTTTAATTCGCGTGCAGGCACGATCATCACTCAGAGCTCTTCTCGTCGGATGAAGTTACGAGGATGGGACGTGCAATTACGATGATGTGGGATCGAGATGAAAATGTCGCTATTGGACGATGATGTGGGGAGCCGAGCAGAGAACGGTGATGGTAGCGACGATCGTGAAGAGCGTGAAGACGATGAGACAGAATCGATCCACGACCATGGCGGCGAATTTCCAATCGCTGATCGTATCTTGATCCTCTTCCTGTTTTCTCATCTTGGCCGTGATGTATCGGAGCTCCTTGAGGATCATCATGAGCTCCCGCTGAGCCCCTACGCAGGACTGGTAGGACGAGGAGGAATCGTCGATGGAGTTCCCCGTGATCCTCATTCCGATGCTCCCACTGTTGAAGGTGAGAGCCGGATGGTGGCGGAGGTCGTCGTCGATGTCCAGCACATTGGCCAGAAGGGACCTCGACGACCGTTCTTTCAGTTCCAAGTTCCGCATCTTCGAGTTGAGCATGATCGTCTTCCGGGTGAGCTTCGTTCGCCCCGGACGGTGCATCCGCAGGATCCACGGCAACCATTGCAGAAATACCACCTTCAACTACACGTACCGCCCGAAACAGATTTCAAAAGTTCATTCGCGATCGCAAGAAGGGAAAATGAGGACGGCGGAGAGAAGGATCACGTACCCAAGTGGCCATTTCGTGCGTTTCCGGGTTCCTGTGATGGTAGTTGAGCACCAAGACAGTGAGCACCACAGACGACGCCACCATGAACATGATACAATTGAAATACGTCCCTACGAACATCGACAAGCACCAGCATGAAATGTCATGTCAAACCTGTACCGTACGTACCCTAACATTTTTTAAATGCAGTTATGCATGCGTCACAGGGACTTTCTATCGTAGGAAGGAGCCGAAGCGTGCAGATGGGAGAGAGTTATAAGCATGAAAGAACTCATTGTGGCAGAAGAACTCCGAGGAGCCCTTCTTTGCCTCGGTAAGCTCCTGCCTAAAAATCTCTCTCTGGCGGGAATTTATTTATCCCATTAATGAGGTGCTAAAGGACGATGAATATACTGCTCGGTATTTCTGATTCGTAGCCATTATCGCCAACGAGACCGTAAAAGGAGTTCCGCGGGAAGGCAAGGGAGGAAGGAGAGTTTCTAGATCCTCTTTAAAGGTCTCCTCGATCGATGGGAGGAAACAGTGCAGCCTTGCAGCCTTCCCCTCGATCCTCCTTGTCTCATGTCAGCCCTTGCTGCATTATTCAAGCCAGGGGAAAGGGGAACCCGAGAAGGATGGAGAGAGAGAAAAAAAAGGTCATCCCTGTTGACTGGAATTCATTCCAGGTGAGAGAATGGAATGAGAGAGGCCCATGAGGTAGCCATCGAGGAACATGCACGCATCTGTGACAGTGTCCATCGGGTTAACAGAGAGAAAGCACGACACGCTAGCCGGAAGCATCATGGTGATTCCTCTCTCATTTACAGACCTAATAGCCTAATGTGTCTACGTAAAGTAGGTTGTGCAAGCAGAGTCGGGGTAGAAAGACGTTGGAAGCCGGGGAATCCGCATATCCCATGCAAGGGATCGTTATTTACTCCTTATGCCTTGGGATGGCTGTTAGTAATGGAGTTATACATGTTTCCACTTTCGTTATGGGTAAGCAAGGGTGCGGAAGGGTGTCAATCTACATTTATCTTTTATCTCCTCTTTTGTTTCTGACCTATGAGGGGTTGCATTTCCGAACTATGCGGCAAGAACTTCTCGCACAGCATTTGCTGGTAAAGGGTCAGCGACAGGAGGATTAGCACACCTGAAACGAAAATATCGGTACCAAGTCAAATGATCGAAAAATTTTGCTCATCAAATTCTCGGGAATAGGTTTTCCTTCTTTTTTTTTCAGCCGATTTGGTGCGAGGGGAAGCGATTCCTCTGGGCTTCCAACGTGCTTCCCCTTTCATCGATCGATGGATTCGTGAAAAAATACCTATTAATGGGATGGCGTCCGATGTGGAAGGCATCGTTTCAGCGACCATGTTCAGAAACACGGTCAGGGACAAAAGGATCGTCACACCTGAGGGAAAAAATCATCCATGAACGACAGAGGACTTCTCTTTCTGGGATTCTTCGAACACCGCCCGAGGGCCGTCGCGGTTCGTCCTCCGACGAAGACGAACGAGTCGTCGCTTTGGGAATCGAGCCACATGCGACGAAAGAAAACGCAAGAACGAGGATGAGAAAGGAGAGGGACGTACCGAGCGTGAGTTTCTCCCCGGAGTCGGGCGGAAGAGTGAAACCGAGAAGAGCCATGGATGAGATGAGCACGCAAGGGACGATCAGATTCGAGAAATAATACAATGTCCTTCTTCGGATGTGGATGGTGAAGGTGATGTCTATGTACGGCTCCGGGCAGCACGCGTACGTGATCGAGTTCCTCACTCCGGGCACACCTACAAGAAATCCCCATGCGAAACGGCCCCGAGGTCAAAGTCGAGAAATCGACTCGATCGGATACTCGTTCCACGAAAAAGTTACAGGGTTTCTTTCGGAGGGAAAAAAAAAATTGATGGAAGAGGTTCTCTTCTTTTTTTTCGACGGGGGAATTGGGAATGGGACTGTGAATGAAGGGCGTGAAGCCAGCCACCCCTCGGGAAATACCCCCAGAAAATAATCTAAAAGAATGACCACGCCTAGAACCGTGGAGCGAGACATCGCATTCAAAATTCAAAATGACGAAAAGATTACTTGCTCCTTCTACAAAGCGACGACTTTAAATCGAAACCGATCTCGGGCTTCGTGCGGAAGACCCTTCCTAAGTGCCGTCGGTGAACGAGACCACAGAACAGCGACTGTGGAATGAATTTCAAATCACCGGTCGTGACTTCAATGAAAGAAAAGGGAAGAAGAGAGAATCCGAGTCCCATCGGGATACGATCGACACCGCAGGAATCACCCTTTATCGACCTGAAGTCTCTGGGTAATAGGTGAACATTTCCTCTAGAATTTCTATAATTTCTTGCCTGTAGTTTCTGATGAGGGCATTCCATGTACAAATTCAACGTGATCCAGGTGAGAGGGATTTTCGCAATATCAGGCAATTAGACAAAATGAAACGTGCTTACTATTTTTTATTATATAAAAGTTACCGAAAGCCAATACAGAGCGGAAACTTGATGCAAATTAAGATCGACTTCTTGAAGATCGGCAGCAGTACTACCTATGGTTCTCTCCAGACGCCCTGGAATTCGCGAGTTGAAAGCCGCGATGGGACGTGATAGGAACAGTCTTACCGCACCTATTTCCCGCAACGAGTCATGACCGGGAACGCGACTGTGCAGGGTTATGGAATCACCGTACTGGCTGGATTCGCAATGAAGTCACTCTCGGTATATTGCGTTGAGTATCGCATAAAATGCTCCCTACACACATGCAGTGACTCGAACGAGCGCTCGACGAGAACGGCAATCGGTAAGAAAATGGATTCCCGAGAGTGCTTCCAGTGCCTTTCCTACTGTAATCGCCCTTCTTTTTCTTCACCGACCGGCAAGTGGACGATCGACGATGCAAAGAAACCCTGGAACGTTTTCGCGGAACGGTGAGATGCTGGAGGTAGAGCTCACCAAGGAGGTCCCATTCTCCGTTGGCGATGAAGCTGCTCAGGTCTCCGCCTTCTTCACTCTGAAGTCTCAGGTCCAGCTGAAACAAGGAGGAACGCGAATCGTGATGCCGGGGCATTTCCCTGTCGACGCGTTTTCTGCGAACTAAGGATCCCGTGGAAGAGCAAACGTGTGGGTACATTCCACGAATCTTGTGAAGGAAGGATACGTTGCTTTGCCCTCCTGTTATTTCCTTTAAAAAAATCTAATTACTAGTTCTTGAAACGAGTAATTACTTTATCAGGACTAGACGTAGCATCTTCGTAACTTTTTTTTTCTCTCTCTCTGTGATGTCGTCGTAATACTCTACGTTCGAATGAAAAGCACTTTCCCTAGCAGCACATGTACTGCATCAAGCACACATATTGCACAAACCAGATATATTGGCCAAGCGTCGGTTCAATATCGCAATATTGGTCCAATAGTATGGCAAGACTGTAAAAGAGTAATTGGAACAAAAGTGGTTTAAAAAAAAAAAATTTTAAACTTCCCTTCAACTTAATTTTTCTGCATTGTATGGATACTAAACTTGGACTAAATAATTGATTTACTAAACATGCACCACTCAAACAAGAAATGGCTTTTCATTTCTCCTGCAACAATCCATTTTGATAAATTTAGCTCTTGCTTCCTGAAACTCTTTTTTGACAACTTTGTTACGTCATCAACGCTAGAAAACTCTCCGAGCAAGTTCATTTTTGATCAACAACAAATGGGATTTGGCACGAAGAAAGGTGACGGTCTATGTCTTTGTCGAAAATACGGAAGCTCCAAGTCGAGCCAAATCAGACAGAATTGGAAGGGAGCCAGGAGAACGAAGACTCCCGTCTAAATTGTGTTACGTCGGAAACACGAAATGAATCGCCTTTTCTTCATCCATGAGAGAATCGAGACATTTTGGGCTGGAATAAGTGCAAGTACCAATGTTCTGAGATACCGTTGAAATAGAATTTCTGGACAGTACCGCATTTAAGGTATACCATCAAACTCGTTTTCATTTTGAGTCTGATGTGAGGTCGGAGACTTTGGAACTGCTTAAAAATACAGTACCTCCTGGGATTGTCGATTCGATTCGCGGCACCCGCTCCTAAGGATCCGGGTTGCCTCAGCCACGATCAAAGCTATATATATCAAACATTTATTTCAGAAGTGTATGGAAAATGAGCTCACGGAAGGAGGGATTCTGGGAGAGACATTGAAAATAATTATATGATCTGGATCATCTTACCCTTCCCCTCTCCCCTCCCCCCCTACTCCCTCCCCCCTCCTTCCCCTGCGCGCGCGACTAAACTCATGACTATGCAGTAGGTAGAACGTACACCATCGGTCAACGATGATCGACTTTTGTAAGACGTTCACTCTTGAAACTCGTCAACACCATTTGAAGATAGTTGAATATAATGCCAGAAGCTCGGTTTTTCGCATTTCATGCATTTACAATGCGGTTTCCTAATTTTGTTGAATACAGGGTGACCCAAAAGTCCCTTATTATTTTTGGGAAGGAGTGGTGGCAGGAAGATAAAACGGCGTACACGGGTTCCCTTACCGACCTTGTTTACAAAACATGTCACCCGTCCATCTCCCGACTCCCCAGAAAGAGGGTGGGGTAGGGGATGATGCCGCTGCCCGCAAGCCCATCGCGCTTATCAATCGAGGCTGTTCCCCGACCCCGGCAACACGTTCACCACAGAGGAGCGAATCGAGATCGTAACCCTACGTCTTAGCGGTCGGAGTTGCACGGACGTCGGTTCCACAAAGCAAGGCCATCAGACTTCACCATCGTCAACGCAGCGAGTTTCGAAACCTGTGTCCTGTTACAACATCGCCTCGAGATTAATGACGGCCGTCGTGTTCTGTTACGATGTTTTATTTTATTTTTTTCTGGATCGTTTCGTTAACAAGGACCGTATGGGAACCCACATACGCCGTTTCATCTTTCTACCACCACTTCTTCCCTAAAATAGTAAGGGACTTTTGGGTCACCCTGTACAGTAATTGTTAAACTTTTCAATTTAACGTCATATCTGTCGCAAGATTTCCATTCCATTCGTTGAACGCTTCATCGCTCCTTTATCGCATCTGGTTTAAATCATAAAAACCATAATCAATCATAATCCAGAAATCATTAACACTTCCATCCTTCGCTCGGTATAGATGATCCAGCGTTTGAAAGTGGGTTTGAGATAAGAACCCTGGCTGCCATTTAGAACAATTTGTCCGGTCCTTTGGAAAATGACAAGAACGAAGAGAAATGAGATCGTTGATAGGGATTATCCTTGTTCTCGGGCGGGTCGACCGAGTCGACCTTCCTCGGGATCTCGTTAGTTCAGATATTTGGCAGCATCGTCGACTCGTCGAGCAGTGATGGCCTTTTTTCACCCGCGGGAAAATTCATGTTCCATCCTCCTCGGAGTTATTCGAGAAAGCGATACCGACGATTCGGATGCTTCACCTAGTCTCACTAGGCACAGACGGCACATTTTAAAAATGTTGCAACCGACCGATCGTGGGTATGCACAATTACCTCATCCAAACAGGAGCAAAAACGTCAACGTAAACAGCGTACAGAAAGTGACAGTGACTAGTGAAAAATGGAATGGCAGAGCTCGTGTCGACCGTAGGGGGGTTAAGTTTTTCTAATGCCCAATTTTCAAGTTTAAATAATTTGGTGCATGCCACCCTGTCATACCATCTTCGCTTCTCCATGAAAATAAATTCTGGCAGCACCGACGCACTCCTCTCTGTGACAGCCGACGCCGAGTGGGAGAAGGGGAACAGGCCTGCTACAAGGTCATGCATACCCTAGAGACGCTCGCTCCGCCCGCTCTCTAATGCCTGAATGCCCACGGTAAGAGGACTAAGGCATGCGACCCCGCTAGGGGTGATTGACTCCTGACCTTTTGCTTACAGCTTCCACCACCAGATCACTAGTGAGCCCCTGTGATGTTAATACTGCATGTATAGTGAATTGAAATATAAGTACTTATCCCTGAGTAAAAATTATATAGAGGTATTTTTTAGAATCCTAAGCCACGAGAGGGAAAAGTGTACACGTGACCCTTGCCCGACAAGCGGAGAGGTTGCAGGTCAGGGCGAACGATTGCCATACGGTCCTCGTCCCCGCAAGGACATTCGAGGAGCATGCCTTCCCAAACTCCTTGATCGAGATCAGAGTCCTCAGTGCAAAACAGGCTCGACCTAAGCCCTGCAGAGTACGGTCGGAATACCCTCCTCGACAGTCCGGCTCGACCTCAGCCCGGGTATCTGTCGATTAGCGTGGGCCAGTTGTAGCTGGTATCCACCCCGGGATTTAACCCTCTGTCTTCCCCTCTAACGTAGTTCGCGTGGAAAGTGTGGGACCTGCAGGACCTCGATCCCCGACTACATTGGCTCCCGGGCCCCAGGACTCCACCACCCCATCACCGGATCCAGTCGATGAGCTAATGGTAATAATAGTTAATACTGATTGTGGGCGAGTGACGAATAAATCTTTATTTTGTTGTTCACGAACTTCCCATTGTTCTTAGTTCCACCCGAACCCCACAACGGGCTACAACCGCGTAGTACCGTAACAATATAATGAACAAATATAAATAAACAATATAAATATTAATATATACCACGTTTTCCCGTCTTACGTGCCATGGATCCCATGTGATATCGATCCTAAATTACGAATTTGATGTTGAGAAACACGATCTAACGATTTCTGGCTCTGTGTCCCCGACTCGTAAGGGGCTCAATCTACTTCGATTCGATCCCATGCAATTCATTTGGAAGTCAAGATCACGGAAACAACCCTGCGCCAACAACATTTGTAAAAGTTGAAAGAACAGAAAAGGGGATGGAGAGAGAAAATGGGGGGAAGAGAGGGAGAGAGACTTGGAGACAAAGAGCGTGTCACTTGTCAAAACCAATCTCAGGCGATGACAATAATGTAAAAAATGGGTGAGGGGATTTTCACATTTCGGATCCAGTTTCAAGGATCCAACTGATTTATATGTTTTTTTCGGAATTGTGTCGAGAGATATTGCATTCCGTGCGCGAGAATGAAGGTGATAAAGCAAATGAAGGAAGACCCTTCCGGTGCGACGATCCAAAATATTCGTTCGTCTTTGTCTCGTTCAGTTGCAGAAGAATTCTCGAGGAAGAAAGCCTGGCAGTAAGAGTTCCCGATGAACCTCGTCGGCCCATTGTGGACTTTAGCCGTGCGAGATCGAAACTTCTAACCGTCGCAAACGTGTTAGTGTTTCCTAATGGGGAGGGGAGACTGTAGGAGTGCGACGCAGTTATCAGGAGTGAGTGCGTTTCCTCAGGAGGGTAACTGTCATTAGGACGTTCATTTTTCAAGAACGTCTGAGTGGCTTCGGGGAGCTCGATAATTGGGTCTGATTAATCTTCACATCATCGGATATAAATGAGACATGGGATGGGAGCCGCAACACCTTCCCGGCGCTCTCCGGAAATTAGAGGGACCCTTGGGAATGCCGCACTACGACTCCTCATTCGAGAAGGCATCGGGGCGAGGATTTCGTTGGGCATTCCATCGTATTCCAACCTCAAGATTGGTTTTGGACGACCGAGACCGTGTGGAGTTCGCATCCTGGTGAACGACACGACCCTTTTACCTTCGCCTCGCCGTACGATTATGGTGCTTGGAGAAATCGCTCAGTGTTGGATCTCTACTCGACGAGGCCTCGAAGAGATGGTATCTCGTATCGCTTCATCTGGCTTTTCTTCCGGGAGGATGCTAGAACAGGAGATCGAGATTCACTTTCTCTATATTTTAATCTCGAGCTTCGAGCTCCCCCTAGGTCATCGTGCTTTCGTGATAATTCCTTTATCGTCTCACGGAGACGGCATTCGCACTTCAACTGTCAATGCCGAATCGAAAGCGGATAGGAAAAAGCAAGGGAATGCCGAGTGGGACGAAACCATAGTGTATACATAGATGCCTCTGGAGAGGCCTTCGCTACCTCGAGAGATACGAGTGCCTCCGCCATCTTGAGACTGGAGTCGCACGAGGGAATGCATGGCAAGATTGGGGTGGGTGTCGGCGTGAGGAGCCCCCGGGTATGGGGTCCGAGGCAAATTGCCTCTTTTGACCTCCCCTTCTCTGTGGGCCTATGGAGCGCAGTCGGTAAAAGGGGAAATACGAGGAGTGGAGCCAAGGCAGAGGGGGAGAATCATCCAGTAGATAGAATATAAGCATAGATTAGAGAGTATAACTAGAGGCGACACTCCGAGGAGTAGGGGGTGGGGAGGGGGGGGGAGTCGAAATATTGCAGAGACATCTGGTGGCTTGTTATCAAAAACACTTCCATGAGTGCTTCGTGGCAGCGGAATCGGGAATCGACTCGTTCGGAGATTCGACCCAAAGGGATCCCTCAATGTAACACGCGTCTCGTTGAGTTTGCTGCTCGGCCATGGAGGAGTTTTTGATATGCGCACGCAAGGTGGAAGATCGACAGTGACATCTATATTACGTCCCTGTTAATGAATGGGATTCGAGTGGAGTGTCGCCTCAAGCTATACTCTCTACCAGGTCTGGCGCGGGAAAATGCGGGCCCCCTGCGGCAAAGACATTGGGCCACCTCTGGGTTCCGATGATTTGCCCCTCACTTCATTTTCGATTATCGAAGTTACATTAGGAAAAAAAAATGAAAATCGCTACATTTTTATTAAGCAAGGAAAGGAGAGGAATTTGTGCAGGTTGTCCAAAGGTTTAGCGTTCGTATTCTAGGAACTTTTGCCACCAGCTCATCGATCACTTTCTTGTGATTCAATGACCTGCTGATCTCCCTCTCGATAGAGAGTATGGCTTGTCCTGTCGGGCGTTCTTGTGACATGCTTGATAAGTTATAAATTGTTTCATTCGATAGAGAGTATGGCTTGTCCTGTCGGGCGTTCTTGTGACATGCTAGATAAGTAATAAATTGTTTCATTTTGGAGAAGCTTCTTTCTGCAGATGCAACTCTCACTGTAGCTGTGAGTAGCATTCCAAGAACAATGGACAAGTTAAGCTACACGGGCTTGACTACTCTTGTGAATCGCGGAGTTCCAAGCGCATCAAGTGGCTCTGGTCTAGGCGTAGCCAGAATGCGAAGTTCGTCAACAAGGTAGTTGATCTGTTGAGGTTAACCTTGGCAAAAGGTGTCCGAATATTGCACTGGTACCGTCGATGATTAGGATTGTCACTCGTTCATAAATAGTATTGATAGTACATATTTCATACGCTTTGTAGATACTGGAAACTGGTCTTAATATGTACAGTGTTTTGTCCATATTATAAACTTAGAGATATTTTAATTAATAACACTTACTAGGAGCTAAAACGGCTCTTATCCGTAAGTCAAAAGCACCACTCTCCTAGTATCGATTGGCGTCTTGGCTCTGGGTATTTGTGGCATAGCCGCATAAACAAGTACCTCGTACTTCGAATATTTTGGTATATTTCTATGCGTTCACGTTTTGTTTAATTCAAATGTGGCAGCCCTATCAATGACTCGGTAATGAATATACAAGACATTTCACGACATGATCAAGGGAGACGAGCGAGGGAAAGGGATGAAAATAAGATAGACCCTTTTACGCTGACGTCTTTCTCACCTCCTCGAGTTCCTGCTGAGTTCCTCCTCATTTCACCGTCTGTCTGAGGCAATCCTCCCTAAATTCTTCTCCCTGTCTTCTATGAACTGTCTGAACTCTGTCATCTAATACTTGAATAGTTGACTCATCAGAAAATATAACTTTTGACCAGTCATCAGCATTCCAGTCTCTGTGAGCAAGCGCCCAATCCAAACGACATTTCTTCATTTTGTCTGTCAATAGAGGTTTCTTCCTAGGTCGGTAGGCATAAAGTCCAGCTTCCATCAGTCTTCGATTAACTGTCATACGATTCACCTTTATACCTTCCTCTTGCAAAACAGATGCAATTTTCCTGCATGAAGCCCTTCTATCTGACTGACTGAGGTGCACAATCTTGCGGTCCATCCGTGGAGTAGTTTTTCTCTTTCGGCCACATTTTCCTTGGCGCTTCACTGCCAGATCACTGCCAGTACTCAAGAGTTTTTTTATTCTGCACACAGATGCTGTTGACACTTTCAGTTTTTTTGCTATTTCACACTGGCTCAATTCACTGTTTTCGAGTAAAACCTGAATTTGTCCTCTTTTACGAGGACTCAAATCGCTCGTTTTACCCATCAGGGGGTTGGTAAATTCAAAATTTCTGAGACATTACAAACTTTTGTCCAACAACAAAGAAACAAGAACGAAACTGAATATTTATTGGATACTAGGCTGAAGTTTCATCCATATCACCCGCCCGGATACCCCACAGTGAGGGTTTTTCAAAAATCGGAGGTTTTGCTTAGAGATTTCTAATAATTTGTTCAGTACTGTATTTGTGTATCTCTTTCTTCCCTATTGATGTTTTTCCTTGCCATATTTGAAGCATTTATTATGCTCTGGTAATACTTTCCCTTTTGGTATTGTGTTTGATAAGTGTTCACCACTTCTTTATTTTTCTAGTTTTGACCTTGTTTGGTTCGCTCTCCCTCTTTTTAAGTTTTATCTCCTATTTTAGATTTAATTTTCTTTCATCTTTTGTTCTTTGCATACCCTTTGACCTAGGCAAGTTTATTTTATTTTTCTTATTTTTATTTAAAAAATACTATCCAGAAGAAAGGAGCTCATCCACCATAAGTTTTGATCCTTCCTTTCCTCCAAAATTAAAGCCCCTTCTGTCTAAAAGCACCACTGCTTTCGTTGTGGCAACAAGCTACCTGTCAATAGAAAACAAAAGAATTCACTATGTTTTTGTTACTTCAAAAAACAAACTTAAGTGCTGAAAACTGTTCTAGAAGTTCTGCCTTCCATAATGCCATAATTATTCCAAATGTGGCAATTTTTCACTTCCATTCAACCACTTCAGTCCCCATGACTGCACATGTGGTTATTATAGACTTTTTCATCTAAAATACATGTCCCACCTGTTCCCCTGATGTCCCAGTTGCTTCTCACAGTTTCTGCTTTCCATGAGGGTCTGGAAAATAGCTGATCAATCTGGAACTTCCTACATACATTTTTGAAACCACTTATCCCAACTCAATGCTTGAGCAGTCCCAGGAGCATCTTCCAGTGTTTGCAATAACGAGCAATGGACTCGAGCTTGACGGGTACTGAGCCTATCATGACAAAGATTCACGATGTAGTCTGTCCACTTTGTATGATAGGATGACCAGACATCCTGGTTTGAATTTTCCTTTCCACCCTGGTGTCCTGTTTTTTTTCCCCCATTGCAGGGACTAACATTCTGGAATTTTCTTGAAAATGTCCCGGAAAACCAGATGACCAGGTAACCAGATTTTTTTTAAAAATCTGGTCACACTATTGTCCTACCGACTAATTTTTTGCCAGTCATTTTAGATTGGGTGACTTTGGGAGTCTCTCAGGAGGCATGCAGGAAACATGTCCAAACAAACATGCCTGGGGGATCTCTGGATCCAAATCTGTAGCTCTGAGACTCCAAAGTTCTCACAGATGGCAGCACTTTGCATCATCTCACCCCACGTGACACCAACCACCCACCACAAGAGCCTCATTTTGACAACTTGCATCCACGACCTGATCCTTTCAGTCTTAACCCAAAGTTTGTGACTATTGGTGAAAGTGTGGAAGAAGGTAAACACTTAAAAACTGACGGTTTCTCTGCCTTGGAAATGTCAGATTTGACAATCACAGCCTGCCAGAGTTCTAAAAAAATTATGGGAGCTCTGGAGATGCGGCAATCGAATTCATTTCTGTATCACCCGCCACTCCAGAGCTAGACCCCGAGGTACTTAAACTTCTCCACCTGTTCCAGTGGAGCACCCTTAACATGTAAGGCATACTTTAGAGGACCATAACCTTCGTTTTGGGGATGCTCAAATTCATTCTGGTCACAGTTCATTCTGAGTCAAACTGGTTGAGCATGCTCTGTAGTTCCTGTTGATACCAGGCCAAAAGGATGGCTTCATCGATGGAGAGAAGTATCTTTGATACCACTGATGCTGATCCCCGTGAGACCCAGGCTATGCCTACAGATGCTATCCATGTAAACGAGGAATAGAAAAGGACAGAGAACGCAACTGTGGCTGAGTCCCACATGTACCCGGAATGAGTCCACAGCTCATCCCGTTCACTCAAACACAGCTAATACAATCACTGTATAGGGACCATATTACAGTTTTTGCCTCCTTCTAACCAATTAGCTCACTATGTGCATAGCTATTATTTATCATTAGTTATTTCTGAAGAAATAATTTTTCATCTTTGACTTTCGAAGTGAGAATGATTTGCAAGGTGTGAGTCATGAATCAGATTTTGCTTGCATGGAGTGAAAATATCACTTGATGCACAATCTATCCTATTCATTGAGCTGTTTGAATTTTCAAAGCCTGTCATTTTTTACAGTATTCACAGAGTACCATAGATTGTGCATGTGAGGATGGACTGGGCTGAAAGATTGTCCTTTTGTTTGAAATGAACTTGTGATGAGTGAAATGAAATATTTAAACAATATTTGCTACATTCAACATGGAATAGGTTTCACGGGGATTGATGCAGAATATGAGAAGCCAGAGAGCCCTGACCTGGTCATCAAGACTGTGGACCGCAGTGTGGATGAATGTGTTCAGCAGGTTGTTGAGATGCTCATGGAACATGTGAGTCAGACTCTTCTCCATTCTCTTTTCAAAGCAAATCCATAGATTCATGGAGGGAATGCATGGGCATGGGAATAGGGGATCCTGCCCAGGTCATTTTCAGAATCAGTACTGGAGTTGTTTGTCCCCGAGAACCAGCTTTCATCTGTAAAGGAAGAGGCAGAACTTCTTCCCAAGCTGCAAATCTCAACACTAGACCTCCAGTGGCTTCAAATCCTCTCTGAGGGATGGGCAACTCCCCTGACTGGCTTTATGAGGGAAAAACAATACCTCCAGGTGCCTATGGTTTCTTTTTTGTATCAATATACTGATAATCTCTCGTGTTGTTGAGTGGCTGACATTTTTATGTCTAAAATGAAAGCAAAATAATATGTTCATGTGTCTAATATAAATAATATATAAATAATATTCAATGCAGATCAGATAATTATATTCTCAAATTATTCTGTATGAGATAACTGTCTTTGTTGACATAAAATGAAGAGATACAAAAAAGAAATGCAAATAATGACAGGTAGGCATATCAAACTTGAAATTCCTCCTTCAATGCCAGATGTGATAGCAAAAGCAGACTATTGTTGATCTCCAGTAAGTTTAAGGGTAGATGAGCAAAAAGAAGCCTACGTAAAAGTGGTTTTACAGAGAAGCCAGATTGATCTGCTTGATCTCCTTTTCCAACAATGAACAGACATGATCCAAACAAGGGAAAGCTAATGATCTAGCTCTCCTCCATTTACTTGCTTATAACATTTACACCAGTTATTATTTTTTATTTAAAATGACAATAATAAAATCAACACTAAATTCATGGGAAGTACTATGCATTTATTTCTGTGCATCCTTCATGAAAATTTTCTTTCTGTTTTGCAATCATGTGAAAGAGAGTATTGTAATGAATGACATATTTTCATGACTTTCAAGTATTGTGTTAATTGGACTCAGGAAAATGGTTGACCACTATCACATCTTCAGTTTTTGATAGAGATGTCCTCATCTTTGATGAGAAAAGATCAATAAATACAGGCTTGGGTTTTATTCTCAGGACAAATGCTTCTTATCCATTTCAGGAGAAAAGACTGGTTAAATCATAGAAACTGCTTGATAATTGGAAAGAAACTAATCCATGAATTTCCATAAATAATATCCAAAAGCTAAAAATTATTTTATACTGAAAAAATAGGATTGTATGATTCACAAACGGAAAAAAATCCATACCAGAATACATGTGACCTGGAAGGATGTAGTCATGCCTCATTTCCAGAAGTTCCCTTTATGATATACCTGCACATAATACAGCACTTGAACACATTTGAGACCAGCTGATTTTGCACTGTGAGGGCCCAGAAAACCAGTAATTTCTCAGAATTAAAAAAAAAACATAGTGGAAAGTATGATAATATTAGCATATTAGCCCAGCCATAGCACGGGCACAGTCCTCTCCACTATGTGCCACCACCTGCACATAGCACTGGTGCAGTCTTGAATGTGTTAACCATGTTAATAGAGCATGAAACAGTGCAATACAGACACTGTGGTTAGTGAAGTATCAAAATTTTGATAGCATATACAGCACCTGCTGTTCATTAGCTTTGTTTTTAATAAGGTATGATATGGCCTCATGATGATAATCATAGGAAAATATAGTCCTTCCCTATGCAACTTCCCTCTCCCATACCTCACATTCACAGATAACCTCAAAATCAAGTCATTTTGGCTGCATAAAAGTTCTTGCTTGGAAATTGTATGTCCTGGCTATTGAACAACCATTGGGCTATTCACCCCTTATTTCAGCATATGAAGTACAAGTGGGCTCATCTTGCTTTGAGGATGTTTATTTCTCAAGTCCAAATCATTGGCAGGATTAGGAATTACATGCAATAAAGTCTTGGACCTATTGATCCAATGAGACAAAATCAAGACTTTCTTAGCCCAATTATATAATCAGAATGAACACAAACTTTCTTACCAAATTAAAAAATTCATGAATTAATTAAATTAATGAATCAATGAATTGCACCACCTAATACTCATGATGAGGCTGGTTATTGATTTGTTTGCCACATGAAGGTGATGCACTTTGGGTGTTTGATGGAGGGAGGCCTGTTCAATCAAAGCATCCCGATAGTGTTGCCGGTGACGACTGAAGATAAAGAGCGTCTTAAGAGCAACAATGGCATTGCCCTTGTTCATGATGGGACAATCTATGCTATCCTTCGAGATCCTGAGTTCTATGAGCATCGCAAGGAGGAACGTTGCTGTCGTCAGTTTGGTATCTGCAATCTGGGACATCCATATCAGAAGGTAACATAATATGAGATCTACAGATCCTGCACAGAAGTAGAGATATTCACAAGAGGGTATTTCTCCCTTGTTCAGATGATTTGGGACAGTGGAGACTGGCTGGTTGGAGGGGATCTGCAGGTCCTCAAACGAATCTGCTGGAATGATGGCATGGATCATTATCGGCTCACACCTAATGAATTGAAGGCCAAGTTTCGGGAAATTGGAGCTGATGCTATCTTTGTGTTTCAACTCAGGAATCCCATCCACAATGGACATGCCCTCCTCATGCAGGTCTCAATACATGATAGTTCATCTTTGCCACATGCATTTTGGATTTGGGACTCATGAAAATTTTTCTATTAGCATTTTCTGTTAATATTTTTTTTTAATTCCATAGTGTGCAACTTTTATCCTTTCATGGCAACATGTGCTGTTTAAAAGTTGAATAGAAGAGGAGTAGCATGATGGACAAGAAAACAAAAGGTTTGGCCATACTTGAACATCTTTGCATGGTGGATAAAATAGCATTGATGTCTACAGAGTGTCTGGAAAGTAACTGCAACATTTCAATTGACTATCTTCAATTTTAGTTGACACATATGAGTCAGTTTCAGCACATCACATACAGAACCTGTTCTCATCAGTTTCCTTTGGCAGTTCTTGATAGTTCTAATGTTCAATGTGGCATGCCATCCATGTTTTTCCCTCCACCACCTTCGTAACTGCACAGTGGACCACCATACTTCATACCGTGTTGCAATTTGGGCTCTTTCTTCAACTGTCAAATCAGCAGCCATTCCCTGCTCTAATCAATCAAACTTTTGGGAAAAATGATGGCATTCTTTGTGTTTTTTAATGGTGAAGAATTGATACTATAACCAAAGATAGTTAATTAAAATATGGTTGTTACATTTCAGACACCCTGTAGGTTGAGGGAACTTGACAGATATGCTTGTATCATGAATTTTTCCATAATGAGGAGTCCATCATGACTCACCTTGAAGCCTCACATGAGTTACAACTACTGCTTGGGTACTGCTGCTCAAAAACATGTGTTTGCATTTGAGATGGAAGTGAGAAGTGACATGAAGTGAATGCATGCAGGACACACAGAAGCAGCTTGTGGAACGAGGCTACCGAAAACCAGTGCTTCTTCTGCACCCCTTGGGAGGTTGGACGAAAGAAGACGATGTCCCACTGGATGTTCGCATGGAGCAGCACAAAGCTGTACTTGAAGATGGGATCTTGGATCCTAATACCACAATTGTGGCCATCTTCCCATCTCCAATGATGTATGCTGGGCCAAAAGAGGTTTGTCCATCCCATCTCACATTGAAGGTCACCTCGTGGGCAGTTTAATCCAGTTCTCATTTCTTATACTTTTATGAGTTCAGGTTGAAAATTCCCATGGGGTTTTGATCTAGCAATCTTTAAAAGGGCTACTTCAATATGCAGATTCTCTGGTGCATGGGCTTAGCTGTGATATCCAATTTCAAGAGTTACAGGTCCAGTGTATATCTCACTCCATTGGTGTATCCAGGATTTTTTGAAGGGGAGGTGTTATTAAGGTGGCTGAATGACAAGTTTGAGCTCTCAGAGCCACCCACCCCCCTCCACTGTCCAGCCTGAATGGATGAAAGCCATGAGCTGGTTACCTGACCCTGATGTTCATCTCAAGAATTTATGCATTGAAATTTCATCTCTAAGATTTTTATATTTACTTCATAATTGGATGAATGACCTGTGTTTCTCTGAAAGAGCAATAATTAAAGTGCCAAATTGTAGGCCAACAGTGAGATGTACATGTGTGTACAAAGAATGGCTATTAGATTTATTCAAAGCAAAGAGGTGTCTTCCAGAAATCATCAGAGAGGCTTTGTCATGATTGTTGATTCCATACCATTGGTTTTTACAAGAATATTCCTCTCATGATTTTTAAGAAGATATTGCATGAAGACTGACTTGTCCAAGCCAACTCAGTTTATTGCATGCAATTGTTATTTCATCTTTAAAGGGCCCTGAAGTCCGAGGCTGGTCAGCTGGCCCTCATTTGTCTGATTCAAATCAATTATATCCTCTTCTTAGGCTCATTCTCCTAATGCTTATCTAAAAAATGTCATGACACCAAAGTATCTTCATGGATTTCTAAGCATAAGACAGACTGTGAGTTCTGGCCCTGAATGAAGTCATATGCTCATTAATTTATCTAGATAATGAAACACTCATTACATCTAGAGATATTTCAGGATTATGTGTACTGTCATGCATAATACATAGAAATTCTCAAATGCTGAGGATGAAGCCAGTGATTTTTACTTATACAGTTTTAAAAATGTGTAGCAAAATTGCTTGAAAATATATCTGGGATGCTATCCAAAAGTAGGTATGGAATGTTTCCAAAAGGGTGAGCTAGAAGTAATGCTTCAAACTTAAAAATGCTCCAACTTCTGGATGGTTGCATATAACTACATTAAACAAAGTGTGTTAATCCTGCACTGTATGGTGTGCCAGATATGGCATGCTTTGCTTTGCCTTGAAATGCATTGCAATACAATGGAAAAACCAAAATGAATGGATAATTTTTTTGTTATTTTTCTCAACAGCAAAAAAAAATTATTGCCAAAAATGTTTTTGGTACATAAAAAAAATCATGCATTGTAGGGTTAAATAGCCATATTCATCAGAAACCCATTGACCACTCATGAAGCAATATCACAGGGAGACTGCTACCTCTTGAGAAGAGTTTGCTGTTTCTGGTAATTTTCTGTTAAAGACAATGTTACAGAGTTGCAACACATAATGTGACAGGAATTTCAGGAGACAGAGCCTATGTGGAAGCATGAAGCAGGAATTGTGTCTGACAGTAAACACCCAAGAAGGTCTAAAACAGGATACACCTGGGAAAATGTGATATGTGTTTACTGAGGCAAACCAGTGATCACTAGACCTAACACCATCAATTTCTTTCTGAGAAGGTACTGTAACATGTTCAGGTCTGCATGGTGCACCAGTGGCCTGCACTATCATTTACCATGGGTTGCCAACTTTTCACAGTACACTGATGGTATGCTGCTTGCCTTGATTGATTACTTATGATAACCTGACTTACTCAAGTTTTTGGTGAGGCATATATACAGTGTGTTCCATTTAAAATGCAACCCAACAACAATCATGTACTACAGTACAAAAATTAAGTCTTGTCTTGTCTTCGAGAAGGTGGTGGACATTTTCAGCATCTGCTATGAAGCTGTTCTGTACATTCCTGTATTATTCTTCCTAACAAATAAAAACAGTCAAACAACTCATTTGTCTTGTTTTATTGCTGTTGTACTTTGGGTTGTGTTTTAAATGGAATACCCTGTATATTTAATGCTAGAACCTACCACACTAAGAGAATGTTCTCCACAATCCAGGCACACACACAGAACAGTACATGTTTTTTGCTCCCAAATTGATTGTGTTAGTTACAAGGTTTATTCCCAGCATATCTGTGTCCCTTACCACTTTTCCAGATGTGACTCTAAAGAAATTCAATGCCATATCAGTGGAGATGTGCAGAAGAGCTAGTAGGCAGGTGTCAGGCTGTCCTGCAGGCTTATTTTAATGTTGGTAGTGCCCAGGCAGATCATTAAAGGGCTAATGCAAAAGGATTATGTGCTGCACTTGTGTGGGTATATTCATTTTGATGCTGCTATTTCATCATTTTTGTTTGCAAGTTACCACCACATTGATAAAAATGCATGAAAGTTACATAAGTTATAGCATTTTAATGTGTGAGTCATTACTTCTGGCTCACCCTGTATATTTAGAAGGAACTTGTGTAAAAAATTAAGGCTATTTCCTTGTGATGACCTGTATAAATGTAACATGCTCTGAACCTGTACTCTTTGAGCACACCTCATGCATTTGGTTCTCATACTTGATAAGTAACTCATTCTTGCAGGTGCAGTGGCATGCAAAGGCACGCATGTCAACTGGTGCCCATTTTTACATTGTGGGGCGAGATCCAGCTGGGATGCCACATCCTGATTCACCAAAACAGGATCTATATGATCCTACTCATGGGGCCAAGGTCATCTACTTTTCTTTCTCTACTTTTGCCATTCATGCAGACTTGATTGGAATGATTATGTTTATGGTATTGATTTGACATTTGACAGGTGTTGACAATGGCACCAGGTTTGACTCAGTTGGAGATCATCCCCTTTCGTGTAGCTGCATATGACAGGAAGAACCAGTGCATGGCATTCTTCAACCCAAAGCGCAAGGAGGATTTTGACTTCATATCTGGCACCAGCATGAGAGGTAAGTCACAGGTCCTTTGCCTTGCTTTTTCACACAAAGGCAATGACCAGGATGATGCCACACTTTCTGCTGCTGCTTCTAATTGTACATCAGGTTTGGCAAGATCGGGTCAAGATCCCCCTGATGGGTTCATGGGCCCCAAAGCTTGGCAAGTCCTTGCTTCTTATTACAAGTCTTTACCCACCTCCTCACAGTGAAAACCAGAGATCCAATCTGTGTGTTGTATTGTCATTGAGTAATATATTCCAAAGGTTTTCTTTTTATTATCAGCATTCATGTGTGAAGTGGGATTAAGTCAACATGCAGAGAGTCGAGGCTGGTGCAGAAAAAAAAATTATATTTCATTTCTCATTTTGGACTTTCCAGTTTTAATTTTTTATGAAAAACTTGGTCATTCTGTGGCTTGAAGCTGATGCCTGGGATGTTGATTTTGATTTTGAACATTTTTTTAATTTTGATTTTGGATATTGAATGTGAAGTGTTAAAAGCACTTTACATTCAATATCCAAACTAACTAGAGTCCAGTGGAGATTTTTCTGAATCAATTGAGCACTGCAGAAGGCTCTGTCCATCCTGATTTTGCATAGTTACCAGAACTAGAAGCTACCAGAACTTTCAGACTCTTTGCATGCAGAAATTTTGCTTAATTTACCTAACTTGGGTTATTTTATCTGCTCTTTTTTTTCAGTTTTATTTTATACCACTTTGGAAGTGCCCTTAGGCATATGAAATCTGTGATTTTTTACCCTAGAGTTTTTCCTTTTTTTTTCGACTTGAAGATTTCACATGATGGTGTTGGTGTTCTTGCCACATTTTGCTACCAGTATTTGGGTTACTAAGTTCATTTTCACATTCAGTTGAGATGCACAATAAAATTGGAATGGTGTTTGGATTTGAACATCTTCAATAGCCATCCTAAACCTTGAAATAATCATGCAAGAACTCCCTCTATACAAAGACAAAATTCTTGTGGAGACAAGAATCTCATGCCCAAGGTATCAGCCAAAGTAGAAGACCTTCATGGATCCCTTCTTGAAGTAGTTTTTTGCTGTTGTGTGTTTTATTGGCTTGTGTTTCACTTTCAACATTCAAAAACTAAGGGAGAGTGGAATAACAGAAGTTTGCCATCTGTGTTTTATTTTTAAGAACGAAGGAGGATTAAAATAAAATTATATTTCTCATTTCAACATGACTCATGCCTTGTACAAATTCCAAAAAGAATCAGGCCACTCCTACCAATGCAAATTATGTAAAAGATTGTGTTGGGATTTTTTCACAATTCAGAGAATTGACCTAAAAGAAGTTGATGATGAAGCTTCATCTGATGCAAGTTGAAGAATGTCTTCCAGAATGCCAGTAATGCCCCTACAATAACTTCTTTTTCTTTCACAGTGGACATGCAATATAACTTAGCATTTCTCATCATGAGAGAACCTTCTTTGGTAGAGGAAGCTCCAGTGTAACTTCCAATAACTTCCAGGTATTACTGCATCTCCTATGGGGACTTCTTTTATTTTCTATGAGCACATCTGCCAGGTTTACTCAATGGAGTTTGTGTTCAAGCAGGCGTGGCCTTTTTCAAGTGCAGAGAAACTTTTAAGAAGGAAAAAATTATACATAAAAGGAAAGAAAACAAATTAAAAAATCAGAAGCTGGCACTGTTATTTTCTCAAGCAAAACCGACAGTATTGCCTCCTGTTTGGTATGACAACCTCTATAGTCTGAAAAACTATTCAAAAAGATGGTGATTGCCCTAAAAGCGAGTAGAAAAAAATGGTTCGACTAGTTCACTCGAAGTAGGCCTACTGGTCCTACTCTGAAGTATAGGTCAGGTTTCACCAACATTGATGTTTTTCAGAGGTTTTTTTATGGGGAGTCTCAGGCAACATCACAAATAAGGACAATAACTTGAAAACAGCTGAATAAAGTCATGGAGAGTCAAAGTTCATGCATGTGAACTGGCATGAGAATGGAGGATGTCATCAGAGTTGAGTTTGATGGACAGCCGTAAGTCTTGAGGTAGTAAAAGCACTTGATACCTAGTATAACGAGATTCCTAAAATAAGACCATGTTTCAAGTAAGAAAGGGGAAGAAAAATTTTTTTAGACTGACCTGTGTTGTGCCACCACCAGAAAGCAAGTACAGCAAAAATGTGCCAAAATTGATGCGAGGACCCAATGTAATTGAAGAGCCCTGTAGAAAAATTCAGCACAACTATGCAGTTCTTTTTCAACAACAAAAAAGTAATATTACATCCATAGAACATAGTCAGTATATTTCACTATTTCACTTTTTCACTGATGTTCCCAAGATTCCTTGGAAGCAGTCAACCATTTCTTGAACGGAATTCAAAACTAAAATCATTTCCAGGATTTCAGTTTCAAATTCTATTACAAAGCGTAACGTATTAACAACATAGATACATAGATCCATCGGCCAGGTATCACAGTACCGATAACAAAATAACATTGACAGCAATACCCTGATTGATATTTCGGGAGATTCAGTATGAACAAAGTGATATAGGTCGAGAAATGATCGAGGTGATAAAGGGAGGTCGAAAGACCACTCTTTATCACTTCATTGTGGATGAAGGGAAGAGTTCGTCGTATTGGCCAGGTGTCTGAGCGGGTCCACTGGTGAATCTGCCGGGCAGCCGTACGTACGCAGGTAGGAGAACATTTGGAGGCCAGCACAGTGCCACCAATAAAAGGAGAGCACTCCAAACACGTGCCATAATTGATGCGAGGAGCCTACGTAGTTGAACCAGCCTAAAACAGACCATAGACAAAAAAAAAACATTCCTAAGCAGGATTTTCTCCTTTCCTTCGAGGACTGGAAAGTTTTGGGAGATCCGAAAAAAATTTGGTTGCAACTACATAGGGTGCAAATGTTCTCCTACTACGAAACCGACCCGACCATTCACCTTGATAAGAAAAAAAAAAGGGAAGGGAGGATGGACTCAAAGATCTCCATGGTTGTGTTCAACGTTCAGCATGCCCTTGAAATTACTTCGAATCGCACATGCATGTTACTCGTTCTCACCTGGTTTGAGCCTCTCGGGGAATCGGCTCAAGTAGAAAAAGAAACCCATGCCAACCAAGGCGTAGAGGATGATGACTCGAATCACAATTGCCTGCAGAGAAGAAAGAAACCGTTAGTAGGAGGCGAGGCGGATTTGCACCGTACCCGACGAGAGGAATCGCAGGCACCTGGACCCATTCGTTTTCGAAGCCACCGTACAGGAAATACCAGTGGCACAGGGGAACAAAGCCGTAGATGGCCCAGATGACGAAGAGGAACATGCGCCAGCCTCTGTACTTGTCCGTGAGGAAGTCGTCCCAGTGATGGAGTCCCACGGTGACCAGGAACACCGTGAATGCCGACGCCCAGTAAAAGTACCTCCAGAACTGCACGAATCGCACACGGTCAGTCGAACGAGAAACGATTCGACGCGCGTTCGAAACGGAGAGTCGGACGATTACGAACTGGGTAGCAGATGAAAGCGAGATAGATCCCAGTCCAGTAGAAGGTGAACGTGGCAAGGGCAACTCCGACGACGTCCCACTTGAATGTGGTGTAGCAGACGATCTCCGACACACAGTTGAACACATGAAACACCACCGAAAGGGCCAGGCACATCTGCAATTGCGATCCAGAATATAACTCTCGAAGATGTCGACAGAAATAATATTTCCTCACACATAGTTTCTGGGCCAGATACACACCTGCCGACTCGTGTACTTTCACGAGTGCGCGAAGAGGTCTGTGTCGAGGTTAAGCTAACCTTGTCGAGGTTAAGCTAACCCTCCCGTGGAATCGCTCGAAATCCTCGGCAAACATAATCGATAGCTACCTCGCGTCGTGGCATTGATGCAGATGGACTACGTGTTGCTTTGACCTTGGGTATTAACTTTCCTCGGGCGTTCAAGCTGGATGAAAGTGAAAGATTTCATCTGAGCAACATGCTGGACTGGCATCGGGCCAGGTATGTCGTAACGTCCTGGCTGTGCTTTCTTCTCTCGGCCAGACCAAATAAATCCTCGACGGACTTGCCACTAGGTGCCGCATCCGACGGATACCCGCAGCTGGGCGCCGAGGAGGAAGCCGGCGAATGTTGAGATTAATTGAAGAAAAGTCATTCGTCGTACGGACGAAAAGAGCCGAGGTCGATGGATCGGTATCGCTATCGTTATGTTTAATTCCGTGGAAGGAAAGATGCGAACGGTCTTGCCTCGGCGACGCTCGCGTTCGTCGTGCAGAAGGCAAGGAATGCCTACCATGAAGGAGACCATCATGAGGACGGCCACGATGACATCGGAAGGAGCAGGTGCAAGTTCTCGGAGGAGGGAGAGATCCATGAGGAGGACTGTGAGGAGCCAAATCACTCCGAACACGTGTGTCCATATGTTGATGCTTTCGTTCGTCCAACAGAACATGCTAAAAATCCAGAGAAATACACGATATGTAGCTACGATTTGGACGATCGTTTCGATGAACCACGTCATGACATCGATGTAAAACCAGGAAGTGCGTGCATCTTTCCGGATTTTTATTTTAACCTATCGATTTGGAAAAGAAATGCATCGGACACGTAGACTCACCTCTTGATGCATTCCAGCGGCGAGAGCTTCGGCCTGTATCCACTGGTGATGTAAGGATTTCCTGCCAGGTAAAGGGGCACATCTTTGTAGTCGATGATGGAGATGCTTCCGCAGCACCCGTAGACTCTTCGTTTCGGGACGGATGATTCCGACACCCTTCCCCGAAGGGGTTTCACCAGTTCGTCTCCCTTCGCACCGCAATCACCACGCATTCCGTCCACTGACGACATTTTTCGCTTTTCTCTCGCGGATTTTCACTCTGGCTCAAAGACGAACGAGATGGGTGTCGAGTGGAGAGGGGAAAACGGCAGGCTCGGCACGGACGTGCGACTTCCCCGTCTTCCGGATCGAAGACGGCCTCTCCATCAATTTAGGGGTTGGTCCACCTGCAACACGAACCACATCGTGAAGTTTTCTGGCACGCAAAGAAGGCGCTCGCTACGACTCGGACCTCGTATTTCCCCGCCGAGTCGATTTTAAAGGGGATTCGAAACGCGTGGGCTCGCGATGGCTCGCGGATGATGCATATCGTCGGCCGAGGGGTCTGCTCTCACGGACGATGCATATCGTCTGCTACGGGGTAACGCGGTAGGCACGAAGCAGGACCGTCGCCTCGAGTCCTATGGATGGGACCGAAATGCGGAAAGATCTGTCGTGGAGGTCGTACCGGTACGATTTCTCGTTTGTCCCATACATGTCCCATATTTGTCGTCACCGATCGGTTCGGTTAGGGATTTCCAACCGGTTCTCGTTGGTTCTCGGCCGGATTTTTTCTTTCGCCGTGCCAATGCGACCGTCTTCGGAAGGAAACACGTCTTGCCGAAAGATTTTCTGCGAGAAAACTCGGCATCGCAACACGGACGATGGCATCCACGAGGAGGAAGGTGGGAGTCGGGAACGGTCGCGACCGTCGTCCTTCCTCCCTCGGCTGGAATCGCGAAACCGCTCTCGGCGCGTCACGCCCTCTCTAAACGACATCCTCCCTTCGCGCCCTCTCCAAGCGACGTCTTCCCTTCGCGCTCTCCCTAAGCGACATCCTCCCCCGAGCGACATCCACCGGCGACGAGAGACGAGGCACGCCGTGCATCGCACCCGGTGCATCGCCGAAACGGGAGTTCCGCCCGATCGAGAGTGCTCCTCGCAGACTACGGACGGCCGCCACTCGTCGTCGAAGGACGACCGAGGAAGAAAGCGGGACCGTCTGGGGCCGTCCCCGCGAAGAGAAGCGAGATGCCCGGCGGCTTTCTGGTGAAAGTGAAAACGGTTCCTCGACTTCCTTCGCCGAACTCCGTGCGCGCGAGAATCGGGGACGAACACGGGCTCGGGCCTGGGCCTAGGCCTAGGCCTTTGCCCACGTCCGTCCGACAGACGATGTCGGTCAGGGCCCATTCGGGTCGTTAGGGATTCCCTCGGCGAGGAATGACGCAAGAGTTCTTCCTCTCTGCATTTCTCCACGTTCCGCACCTTCGCTTCCTTCCCTTTGCTCGACGGTCCGCCTCGCCGTTTTCGAGTTCGCGGCCACGCTGATCTCGCGAGACCTCGCCCGTCGAGGAACGTCGATCCGACGACGGTTTCTCGGTTTTCCCCGCGGGAGCGTGCGCGCGAATTTCTCGCGGGTTCCGAAAGTCGAGGCCCGGCGACGGAACGGGAAACCTCGACCAGCGACGGATGCCTCGATGCCCTCGACGGGACGCAGAAACGACCCGCGCCGCGTGCGAGGCGCACGGGAGGACCAGAGGACCCGGATCGATGCCCGCTTCCGCGCGAAAGAGAGTCGCGGCCAGATCTCGAGCCGCCGCGAAACCGAGGAACGAAGGATGTCCTGCCGCCGTCGCGGTCCGAGAGAGGACGTACGAGTGGACGAAACGCTTCCTACCTTTCGGGCGCGTCGCGCGAACGATATCTCTCGATGCCGCGCACTCACCGCTTCTCGTGGACCTCGCGCACTCACCGCTCCTCGTGGACCTCGCGCACTCGGATTCGGACTCGGACTCGGACTCGACGCGCTGGGGACGGAACTCGGGCTCGTCTGGGTTGCATCACGGCGCACTGGGAACGCTCCTCCCGTTTTTCTCACGTCGAGAACTTTCGTGGGACGGGCTTCGTTCTCACCCGCACCGCAACGAAAGGCTTCTCTCGTAAATCGACGTCGACGATGATGATCGTCGTCATCCGGAAGGCAGATAGAGAATGAGTCGGCTTTCACGTGCCGTAAAGAGGATCGATTTTAAAGGGACCTTTCACCGTCTCGCTCCCTCTTCGGCCGCGGCACTCCGCAGGCCACGCTTCACGCCGTGATTCCGACTTTTTGTTTCCTTTCCGTCGTCCTTGGACGGGGCCCATTTTTCGATGCCCTCGGGATCTGATAGGCTTTTTTTCTCTCGCCGCCGACGAGGAAGCGATTCCGAAGGAAAGACTTCCGACGCCAGCATTTCGCGCGTTCGAATCTTTGATGCGAGCGTTACGAGTTTCTCCTTCCGTCGACGGATCGCCGCGCGAAACGAAACGAACGGGAGTCCTTGGATTCCCGGGACGTCGAAGAGAACGTCACGTGCTCGCTCGCACGTACCGTACCCGAACGGATGGTTTCGCGATCCACGAAACGCCCCGGAACGCGGCACGCACGGTTCGTTCCTGGGAACGACCTCGACGATTTACGCGGAGAACGAAAGAAGAGATCGCGAACACCACACGCACCGCACCGCACTACACCACACCACACCGCACCGCACCGCTCCGCTCCGCTCCCCAAGAGGGAAAGCGACGGAAGACGAGAGGGAACTGAGACGGGGAGGCTGGGAGGCAGGGAGGCAGGGAGGCGGTGGGACCGAGACCCAGTAAAATGTCGGTGGTAGCGGGCAGCAAAAGAAAGAGAGAGCGATGAAGCAATCCCCGGTGTATTGCGTCACGTGCAACCCTCGTCGTGCAACCTCGTCCACTTCGTCTTTTTTTCTCGTCCCCGTCGAGTTCAAGGCGATCTCCTCCTCGGGCCCTTCCGCGCCTTCGCCCTTTCGTCTCCCGCCGAACCGTCGGAACGCGACGGAAATCGCGAACGGTGCGACGTCGCCGCGACGAGCGTCGACGCGGAATGCGGCCGATCGCACTCGCGGTGAGTCGCAGAGGCGAACAGGGTGCGTTCACTGATTTTCCCAGGAAACTGGTTTTCCTCGACGAGAAAAACGAGCGAACTCGATGCAAGACCCGCAGAGGCTAGCAGGAAACAACACGAAGTCGGAAAAGAAGCGATACCGGATTCGAACGCGACCGGAGAGTCGGAAAAGAAGCGACGACGCACGCAATCGTCGACGAGAGAACGAAGACGGCTCGAAAGCTCTTCACCTCATCTTATCTTGTTGCCGACCGCGATATTTTCCCCCCGGTCGATCGGGTTCGAAGTCCGACCCCGTCACGCACGGAGAGATGGCAGTCTCCGACGATCGAGGAAAAGGGGGCAAATCTTCTCCGCACTTTCTCCCGTTCTGCCCCTTTTTCACGGGTCCCGGGCTCGACCCGCGGGGCGAACGGACCTATTTACGGTGGATCCAGGCGCGTGAATCGGAAAATCGGAAAGAAAGCGCGATGAATTCGAAGAAGCCTTCAGTCACGAAACGGACAATGAGAAAATGAGAAAATGAGGCCTTCCGGACTCCATCGGCCGTCGAAACGACGAGTCATATCGGAGAAAGTCATCCCGGCACGTCAGCTGCAGGGCAGGTGATAGAACATTTCTTCCTGAGAAACAAATAAAAAAGGGGGGGGGGGGGGGGAGAGAGGGGGGGGGGGGGGGGGGGGGACTTCCCCAAATGGGGGGGGGGGGGGGGGGGGGGAGGACTTCCCCAAATGAGCCTTTCGTAATATACGGAATCTCATGATGGATAGGGAGAATTCTTCACGCGTCGTTATTGCTACGTCACGAAACATGGTTATTTTCTCGAGAAGGATTCTCGACGCACTTTTTTTTCGTCTTTTTAAGATCATCGGTTTTCTTCTACTGCTAGAACGATTTGTTTCCGCCCGTCCGCCTTCCGTCGGCACCACCCTTGGAACCGCACGTGCCGCTACTTGGGATTCGTTCGTGCGATGCACGGCGGAGCTTTCGACCCGTACGTGTCCGTACGTTCGCGAAGAGTCGCGCGCATGCACGGACGAGAACGCGAATCGAAACCGACCGCGGATGGAGAAGCGTGGACCGATCCTCGATCGAAGGGGCGAAACGTGGGGGAAACGGAAGAATCACGAACGGGAACCGAGCAGACGAGTGAGAAACGAGCGAAGAACTCGGCGTCTACGAACAGCGATGGGGGGGGGGGGGGGGGGGGGGTTATCGTCCTTTCTCCAAATTAGCGGGGAGAAAGATCTCGTACCTTGGAATGTACCATCTGCTGGGAGAGGGGGGGGGGAGGGGGGGAGACACCCTGGGAACACCCCGGGGACACCTCGGGGAAACCCTGGAGACACCCGATGAACACGCGAAACTCCAAGGACTCGGAAGGACGGTAGGGCCGTATAAGAACGAGAAAGAGACCTTCGGGGCGATCCGGGACCTTGGGAGACGAACAGATATCGTTATTCGATCGAGGAGGAAGTCCAGCCAAGGGCGGGAGGTGTCCGGCCCAGGAAAAGCCCAAGGAAGGCCCAAGGAAGACCCGTGCCCCAGGGTCTTCGAGCCTTTCCTCAGGTCGGAAAGACGAGCCCTCCCCCGAGAGAGATTTCCGGTTCCCTCAGCCATCGTCGCTTTTCTAAAAAGAAAAAATTCGTTTCGAGATCGCGATGGAAACGACGCGGAGTCGAGGAACGAGGAACGCTCGCGCCTCCGCCTCCGTGCGTCGAGGGCGAACGAGGGCGAAATTTCTGCCTCCATCGATTTCTCGTCGAGTGTCACTGGGTCTTCCGTACACCTCGACGCGAGATCGCCGAACGGTGAGGAAGGAGTGCTTTTCGTACCGAAAGACCAAATGATCGTTGGAGTCGGTGGAATCGTTGGCGCTGCGGGAGTCGGGGGAGATTGGGAGAGTTGAGGGAGATTGTGGGAGCTGAGGGAGATTGAGAGAGTTGAGGGAGATTGTGGGAGTTGAGGGAGATTGTGGGAGTTGAGGGAGATCGGGAGAGTTGGGTCCTGCTTCCCGAACGGATGGCATCCCGTATCGCGTTTCCCGAGGACGTCCAAAGGTCGTGCGATTCCTCGAATCCGCAAGAAAGCCCAAGTCCTTCTGTGGGAAACATGAGTTTCGCAGCATCGACGCTCCGGAGCAGGTGGAGTCTATCTCCTCCGAGGAACGAAGGAAAGACGCGTCTTTCCGTCTTTCGTCCGACCCAGGAGTCCACGCGAAACGTTCGTTCGGGTCGCCTCTGCCCCGAACGCGAGGAAAATTAGTTGCCTTCGACTTTTTCC